CATTCCCAATTACGGGTGTCATTGGACCGGTATTCAGTTTGGACGGATTGGATGAATCAATAAGAGACATTGAATTGGATCAGTCCAGACTTAATAATGGTTCAAAATATTTATTAGATTGGATTGAATCTGGTCCATCCGTAATAGATTTATATTGGATTGGGTTGGATTGAACCGATATCTGATCCATTGGCAGGAGATAAGTATACAGGTATCGTCAATGGTCTAGATTTGAGTTAGAACCAATCTAAATTAAAACCAATTTAAACAGATTGGATGATCTAAACATTGAATTGGACTGGTCCAAAATGATCCAAAGTATTAAATTGAATTGGGCCTGGTCCATCTGTAATGGATTCATATTGGACCGAATTGGATTGCATCAAATCCATTTCCATTGACGCCCCTATTCCCAACATGCGGCTGGACGAACATGAACAGCAATGTACTGTCGTCAGCAGATCCAGACTTGTCCGGAAACCTTTTTCTTCCAATGGCTTCTACTTAAAAGAAAAAAATGTAAAAAATATAATTGTTTGTAAAAGATACTATGAACATTGCTTCCAACATAAGCTATAGGCACATATCTCAGTTGGAAGCAATGCTGGTAGCCCCTTGTGGGTAGAAATCTGGACTCTAGACATTCCTAGCAATTCTCCTAATGTAGCATAGATATATCTTAGGCACTGCCATACCGTGTAGGTGCAAGTTGGGCTGTATTGGGCCGAATCCAACCTAAAAAAAATTGGGCGCCTGTTTGGTTCACAGGAATAGGGGTCTGGAATAGATCACTCCAATTCAAAATATTTTGTTGGGCAGAATCAGAACCTCATACCCATTTCTGTTGAAATAGCATTCCCCCATTTGAGGAAGCTCGGATCTCCTACCCACAGGACATTCTACAGTTGTACATTGGGATGAGTAGGTGAGGATAGGATTCTTGTGGATAGGAGATCTGGAGGGAATGACCCTCTCTTAGGAATAAAATCTCATTCCAGCTTATTCTAATTCCAGATTCGATTCCTGTCTTAACCAAACAGATTATGGCAATAGATCATTCCGATTCTGATTCTGACTGCAAAACAAATTACAGACTCTAGGTTGGGATTTATTAGATTGAAGGTCAAATTTCTGTTTGGTTAAGGACTGAGTCTTGAGCAACCCAATCTAGTCCAAACTTGATATATCTATTCAAATTATATAAATAACAACAGTCATGTATGTATATGTGTGTGTGTGTTTGACATCAACAATTTTAAGGGCTAAAATTTTTTAAGGCAATATGAGTATATTCTTACATTATGTTTGGTTTGAAGGAAAAAGTAAGAAAATGAAGGGAAAAGTAAGGAAACCTTTACAAGGTTTGTAAAGGTTTCTTTTCCTTTCCCTGCATTTTCCTTCAAACCAAACATAGCCTTAAAGCACCAAAACCTTGTCCATATATACACTAACGCCCCATAGCTGACCAACTTTAACACGCTAATCCTCAACTTAAGAAGTGAGAACAAATTTTATTGCAAAAAAAAAAAAGTGAAAAAGTTGGGCTAACCTGACATCAGCCCAAACCTGCAAACCAACCTGACCCTTCATTGGATTAGGTTAGGGTTAAAATTGGGGCTTCTACAACTCGGGTTGGGGTCAATGTTGACCTCAACCCAACCTAGCTTTACCCAACTTACACCACCATCGTACTATTGATCTTATAAGAGAAAATTATCAGGAAAAAAAAAAGAAAACATAAATGCCATTACATGGGTGGATATAACTTTGGTTGGGCCAACTACTGGGTTTGGCTAACTTCTCATGAGTTTGGGCTTCGCCCTACAGATCCAACAGTTGTAGATGACTCTGGACTTGTGATGAGGCTTGTGCTTTGCCCTACACATGAGTGTGAAGCTATTTTCCAACATATCTACAACTTTAGTAGTTGGTTTACTGCCTCTGGTCGGATTCTCAAATTCCTAAAAAATCAAGTAAATTATACTCGTTCAGTTTATTCCAACCCACCGTATCCACCCCAGCCGAACCCAACTCAAGCCAAGTTACAAGTTCTACTTGCGCTGAGACGAGACACTGAATTTGCCTTGCGTCACGGTTAGAATACATAGTTTGACAGCGTTGATTAGCTCAAGAATTTCAGTTTTGGTGCAACGACATTCCAGAGTGATCTCTACTCTCGACTCTCATGTATTAAAATCTAATGTTCAGAGGTTAGCTAAAGGTCTGTGCAATTTAAAGATGTGCAGTTAGCCGGTACAATAAGGCTTATTAAAGGACAAATTTGACAACAGAAAATGACATCAAATACCAAAAAACTGTGCAGTTAGCCGGTACAATAGCAACCACCGACACATTACGACGCTTAATACTGAATTCTGATATACGATGCCGACGGAGAGATTGTGATAGAGGAAAAATGAAAATGACCAACGGATCGAATGAGTTTTTAATCTCGGAGTTTCAAAACCTCTACAAAAAACTGATTCCGTTAAATATTTTATTTATGGACATTGGAAAATGCATAATCACCAAAAACTACTTATTGAATCTTAGCCACTAGATTCTCACATTTGTCAGCTCAAGATTTTACTACCACAAGAAACAATGACCGACTCTAATGATAGAAGAAATTAACTATTTTATCTTTGAACAGTTCTCTACATTATAGAAACCTTTTTCAAATTACAAGTTGTTGGCTGTACATGTGATACCCCAGAATAGTGTACATTTGAGCTGTGCTGTGATATTTACTCACATCGTATGCAACATTTATAGCTTATAATGCTTTGTGGTATTAGTACCACAATCCATACAAGGTTCTAAATGGATTGGATTGAATTAGATATTACCCCAAAAACCACTTCTTCATATTACATTAATAGTTTAGATGCACAAACTGCTTTTTAAAATGTATTTTTAAGGGGGAAATTAAGTAATATCGGTTCACCAAAGTTATTATATATTTCTAGTTATTACATATAAAATAATAAAAAATAATAATTTTCTTTTCCATGAGACCAACTGATGGTGGCTTAGTTGATAGATTCTTTGGCTAGTTGTAGCAAAGACTTGGGATCAAATCCCACTACCACTAAGGTTGGGGGGTTAAGGGTTTAGGGGATGGATTACCCATCACTGTAGCCCTATAAAGCCAAAAAAAAATGTGATTAACACATGAGATCAATAACCAAGTTAAAAAAAAAAACAATTTCAAAATTGAACTGACGAAGATAACCAAAGGCTCATGTTAAGTGCTTCATCACTATACTTTATTGTTGAGTTAGAAGAATCCATGAAACAAATCTATATTGAATTAATAGAAAATAGAAAAAAAAATGTAATGGCCCATGAAAAGGAGAAATGGTTTCTTTAGACTTTTATATAAGAAGAAAATTAGTTAACCCCATGTATTGGCAGGCAAATTTTGATTTTGACATTAATTTGGATCCAAGCAAGGGTTTATATTTAGGTTGGCCCTTAACTTAACTCAATCCATCTAATTAACACCCCTACTTTATTAGATATAAATAGCATAAAATTCATAATCCACTACAGAAAGTTAGATTTAAACATAACCACTACATGTTAGAAATTAGGGTTGGAAAGTATGAACCTAGTTTAAGGTTGGATTACGACTGAGGCCTTGACCACCCCAAATCAGAATTAACTTCTTATTTTTATCTATAAATATCATATAAATGTTGTATGTATGTCAATAATTGTAAGTTTAAAGGCAAAATTTTTCTGAAACATTATAAAGTAGCAATAAAACCCATGCAACGCATGGGCTTAATAAAAGTTAAGTTATGGTTCGAACATTTAGGTTTTTTGCCTCAAGTTGGATTTAAGCTAAAGTCCATATTTAAAGTTGGATAAAAGTTAGGTTTTGGTTAGAAAGTTTAGGCTTTTTTGTGTCAAATTGGATTTAAGCTAAAGTTCATATTTAAAGTTGGGCAAAAGTTAGGTTTCGGTTAGGAAATTTAGGTTTTTGTCACCAATTTTGGTTTAGGCTAAGGTTCATATTTAGAGTTGGGCAAAAGTTAGAATTTGGTTGGAAATTTTAAGTTTTTTGTCATCAATTTTGGTTTAAGGTAAGGTCCATATTTAGAGTTGGGCACAAGTTAAGTTTTGGTTAGAAAATTTAGGTTTTCGTCATCAATTTTGGTTTAGGCTAAGGTTCATATTTAGATTTGGTCCAAGGTAAGGTCTATATTTAGAATTGAGCACAAGTTAGGTTTTGGTTATAAAATTTAGGTTTTTAGCATCAATTCGGGATTAGGATAAAGTCCATATTTAGAGTTGGTCATGGATTAACCCTTAATTAACCTCACCCAATCCATCTAATTTATTGAAAACAAAAGGGATTGAGAAATGTGTGTGTGTGAAAGAGAGAAAGAGATCACCAAGGTCCTCTCTAGTCCAGCTTAGTTATTATAGTCATTTTGTTGACCTTGGAAAAGGTAACATTATGAAAAGAAAGGGTTATTAGCTTATTACCCGAGAATGGCCTCTATGGAGTGGTGGAGTACTGGAGTACCTTTGGAATCTTTGTACAAAGTGGTGAGTCATTTGAACTTGCATTCTTCTTCTTCAATCCTTTTCCCCCTTACACTATCCCCACAAGGAAATAGGAAAAAATATAAATAAAAGAAAGAATAATAGGTCAGAAAAATATTATATATATATATATATATGTTAACTTTGGGCTCAAAATTTTTAATTAAGTTGCATTCCTGAAAAGATTGAAAAAGAAAAACCTTATACTTGGCAAAAACCCTCAAATGAGGCACAGAATTTTGTTTTGTCGTAAATACCACCTATTCTTCCTCAAAGCAGATACACCTACCCTCTTTTAGTACTGGTTGTATGCTTAAAAGCAATATTCTGATCGAGAACTAGTGGATGGACTGAAAAAGCCTCGTGTCTTTTTCTTTTTCCTTTGTTTTAATTTCAGTTGAACCAGCGATTTACCCAGTTGGAATGGTCAAAATCCATCTAACTTAATAAAGCTAATTTTTATTATCTTAAATGTTATAAACCGACACAACAAGTTACCTCCAGCATTTTGCGGGTAATCATCATTCTTTTGAATGAGCCCCCCCCCATAACATCCTTATTCCTTACAACATATATGTACATTTTGCTCCATTGAGAGTGATAGCTGAATAATATCTCTTATAAAAAGTAAAAAGTCGCTAGGCAAAATAAATGTGCTTTTGTGTGGCTTATATAGCATCCAGTGAACAGTGCTGCTGCTCTGTGACTGCACCGATCATTTGAGTAGGTACTACTCTCCAGTCTCCTCTACATGCATGCGCATTAAGCTATATATATATATATATAATGGCAGACCACGGTTGGCATTCCGCGTTCACATCTCACTTGTTGGACTAGTGGAGTACTACGTACTGGTTCTAAGTAACATTCCTTTCGGTGTTGCACCTTCTACTACATTAATAAGCGGTGCACAAAAATGGTCATCAGTTTTCTTCTCATGATGCTATCATCTGCGAGTAAAATTTGCGAGTCCTAACATGGAGGAGGAAAGCTAGAATCGTTCCAACAGTGCAAACGGAACCCCAAATGATGAAAGACTTTCTGTAACATTCAGTCCCCATGCATCTCCCCTGTCCATCTCCTTCTCTTTGGTAAAGAAGTGCTGCCAGGTAGCCAAAAAGAAAGGAGCCTATGGGAATATTAGCAACCAAGATGTTATGGTTCACACTGAAATTCTTGGTCCCAAACAGTTCACTAGTCGTAGAGACAGCGATGGAGGTAATTGCACTAGCGCAAACTCCAATTACAGCAGTGCTGATGTAGAGGGAGAGGTTGGTTCTGTTGAGAAGCAGGAAGAAGGCCCCTGCCATTGGGACCATTAATATTGCTAACGATGCTGGTCTTGAGACCATGTACCTACTCCTGGAAAAAAAGAACAAGGAATTAATTCAACTTAGCTAATAACCTCAAATTCCCACTTCAGAAGCATTACTCAAGTTGATGAATTTGACCTCTTCTAGAGTTCTAGGGGGAAGAATAATTGCAGCCAAGGACTGTTTAATTGCACATATCCATTGGATGCATGCGTCAAATTAAATGCACTTTTTTTACCCCTTACACGCTTTTGGATAGAGCTCATCAAGGTTTTTAAAACCGAACCGATCAGGGGTCCGGTTCTCAGGTCAAACTGTCCGATTATTCAAATCGAACGGATGGCCCATTCTGATAAAAAAATTAAAACCAGCCAAACTATTGAATGATTCGAACGATTTGACTGCCCGGATCAGCGATTTATTGACCAAATCAACAGTTTTTGGGGAAATAATGGTTCTGGGATAAAATGGATTCGGTTTTTCCAGTCCAACCATCCGGTCCGGTCTGATCCGGTTTTGAAAACCATAGAACTCATTAAGAGTCTCTTAATTTTTTTTTTCACTAAGCTTCAGGTATTTGCTGCATAAGCATAACTTTAAAAACTAAGAGAAAACAGAACCATTTTGATCACTGGTTCTTGGGTCAAACGGTCCAATCATGCATCCAGTCTGAATCCTGGTCAGTTTTGGGGTCCAAAACCGGATCCAGAGCCATGATAGGTTTCTGGGTCAATTGGTCCAACCATCCAATCTAATCCAGTTTTCAAAACCATGATTTTCTGTATAAATTCAGGGTGAGAAATTTGTATCCAAGTTAGATTTGTGGGCCTTCGTAATTTTTTACATTTGTTTGTCACATTTGCCCAATAGTGCAAATTTTGCTTCAAAAAAACAATGCAAAATCTGCACCCACGTTCATTTATTGTCTCCATAGGAGTTATGCGGTCACAATTCTTTCTCGTAAAAAAGCCAAAGTGTTTTTCAAATACTAGCATTTGCCTAAGGAAAATGTCTTTCAATGTAGAACTCTTGTCTCATTGGAAAACAGAGTTCACTTTTACCGATATAATTCAGATATTGAATGTGATTAATAAATTAAATTAAAATGTCAAAATATTATACCATTAATAAAATGAACTAAAAATGACTTTAATATTATATATCATAAATAAAATAAATTGAAAACAACTCCTATGAGGTTTGAACCTATGACTCTTTAGTATATATACAACATTTTAACCCAACTTTACCAATACATATGCCAAAATAAAAAATAAAAAAAAATACTTAATTTACCAATATATTCACTATAAATTTTACATAGATAAAGGAATTTTATATAAATTTTTATATATTATATATATTGGATCGGATAGGGTGATCCATATTCGATCCAATTACCAGTAAAAAGAAAAAGAAAAAAAAAAGAAGAAATTCCAATCATCCTCAACCCCAACATTTTCACTTTTCAGCCCTAAAATAGATTCTCTATACATTTTACCTTTTAACATGCCAAGCCAGGTGAAAGACAAAAAAAAAGGGTGTAACGGTTATCTTAATGATGTATTTCCTTCAATAAAATAGGAAGAAGCAGATATATTTGAGATATAAATTAATAAAGGTAAACCCAGGAAATCAAGCCTTTGACTGATTAATTTTTCATATTGAAAATTGATACTCGGATGGAGAGAACTTACTTGGAGAAAAAATAATTCAAAATTGATGGGATGAGACGCCCAAAGAAACCGAACGAAGACGACAAGGAGACCAGAGAAGAAGTCTTAGAGTATCCACGGGACTCTGCTATTTGACCCAGGTTGTTCAAAAATACTAACCCAAGTGTTGCACCAAACATATAAACAAAGAAATATAACCAAAAGTCCACCCTCCTTATCATTAACTTCACCCCGATCTCTTCCTTCACTCTGATCAACTGGCCATCTTCCTCGACAACTTCTCCTTCCTTCACCTCAATCTCCACTCTCTCTCCAATTCCAACCTGATCATCCACACTGAGATTGTATATCCTATTCTCCCTTTTATTCCACCATTTACCCTCCAAACTTTCTTTGAAACCTGTGAAGATGGGGATCCCTATTGGAGCAGCTAAGAGAATCCCCATCGCAATTGCATGAATTGACGATGAGAAACTTGTTGAAATGGAATCCGTACTACCAAGCACAGCGTAAATACCAGTTGCTGTCGTTATAACAAACATCGCCATGAACCCCCCTTTCATTTCTATTGCTTTTCCCAACTCGATCTCTCTAACCAGCGGAGCGGTTATAACTGAAGCTATCATGGGTACAATTGAGTTAAGTAGGAGATAAGCTTTGGCTCTTTTGACGGGCGGAGAAGGCGAAACACAATCTACAATGTCGTTGTAGATCTTTGCACTTAATCCAACGTAGCTGGTTGATAGCCCCACCGCAACCTGGCGATCAGATGGGAAGTTTCGAATGGTTACCATGTAACAAACAGTGTTGATCCAGCAGATGCTATTTCCAGCTAGAACACAAAGTACAAAGAGTTGCCAGTATGAAAGAGAGGAGATTTGGTTCACAAGGAAGAGATATTGCACACCATAGCCAATCAACCCGAGAACTGAACCAATCATAAGAACCAACCATAGGGGTAGATGAACTGCCCCAACGCCGGAGAACCAACCAAAGAGTTTTCCGGCATCAGAGGCAAAGGCGAGGTTGTTCAATTGCACTTGGGAGATGGAGAGGAGATGCTTGAGCTGGGATGAGTAGGCTGAGAAATCAGAGTTTGTTCCATTGATTGATTGAAGCCAAATAATACCCACCAAGCTTAGCCACTGAAGAATGGAAGGAGACATAATGTTTGGGTAGCACTGTTTGCTTCAAGTAAGAAATTTTTATCTGACAACTTGAAGAGCTGATGGGTTTTCAAGATAAATGCGAATGTAAGGAAGGGAGAGTGATATAAACCAGTGATTAATAGGGAGGACGAATTGTGGTTGTGAAATTAAAATGTGGTCTCGTGTCTGCCACCACCCTGGAGCATTGAAGATCTGAAGGTTGCTTTCTTTATTTTTATATTGCTAGGGCGGAGCATTGAATTAAGGTTGCTTGGTCGTTGCAGCTGTGTATGTAAACGCCGAGAACTGATGATGGCGTCATGCATACGCACAAAGAGCCACAGACGCAGAAAGATGTTTTGATCCAAGTTATGATGAGTAGTTCTGGATCTGATACAGACAATGAATGGAAATCAGTACTGCCACAAACACTACACATTGGTAACAGTACAGAACACTGGTGTGTTTACTTAGGAATGGTGTTTTTAGCCTGATTTCTACGTCATGTTTCTACCATATATTTATAATTTTATGTACCCAGAGCCTTCAAGCTTTCCATCAAAACAAAACTGGGTCGAGTGTGAACATGATACGTTGATTGATTGTTTGCAAGATTCAGGTATGGGTAAAAGCCAAATATGCAAGATTGCATCAGGCACACGTATAAATACGTAAGATAAGAGTCGGGAAAATGGATTAATTAATTGTTTGATTCCAGGTCCAGCAGTCGAAGCAGGGAGATTAATTAATTGTTTGATTCCAGGTCCAGCAGTCGAAGCAGGGATATTTTATCATAAAAACCAGAACGTAAACAGTTTTTTGTATATTAATGGTGGGACCTTTGCAATTTTAGTACGTCGATTTCTAGTGCAAGCAATCTAATCTATTCTCTTGTGTGGAAGTTTAGCTAGAGGCTAGAGCTCAATAAATATTGTAAATGGTGCCAAGGACGGATGCATCAGTGACCCGGCAATCAATCCATTTTTGCTATATATGACGTGTGAAATCAAGACTTTCCATGTATTTCTGTGACTCACCTTGAATTAGAAGATGAAGTAACGTCGAGGTGGGGCCACAGCAATAAACAACCGAAGGCCCTGATTCACAGTTGTAGCCTGAGTCGTACGATAAGTGGAATGATTTCATGACTTCATATATTTCCCTGACCCTCCAAATTCCAAAGTCCAAACAAACCGAGAGGCTAGGAGATAAATGGGTTCCAATTTAATGCAGTTTTTTTAATGAAGACTACGAAGGCTAGAAGAGACTATACTAACAGTGCCACAGTAACGTGTGCCCGCGGTTCAAAGAATCGGGCCCTTTCCAGAGAGTCCAGACTTGGAGTCGCTCTCAAGTCCAACGTCAGTCCCAAGTCCCATCCCGTCCGCCTCTCCCGCGTCCCCGTCCCAGATGGTCCATATGTCACAATAACGACCTCACCTCAGAAACCATATATATATATGATAGTAAGAGTTTCAATCTTCAAGAGCACCTCCAAGCTAGAAAATAATGGAGACCCACCTCATTAACTCCTAACGTTGCAGCAGTCAGGATTGGTTAGATCATGGATGCCATAACTTGAGTAACTCTACTATATTTTGCTCCTGTAGCAGTAAACAACCAACAGTAACCAATCAAGATCAAATTACAAGACTTGAAACTTGAAAGCCATTATATAGTCTTGGGATTTACTCGCTGGCCAGCAGGGGTGTTTACGGTTAGGGGCAAGGGGGGTCAAAAATTAATAAACATGATGGATAGGGGGCCAAAATTAATCCCCCGGCTCCGCCCCTGTTTATGGTCCAGTTCCAGACTTCCAGTTCAGTTTGGAAAAGCTCTCTTTCTGAGAATTTTTTAAACCAAACAATATCATTACATTTTGATCCAGCTTTTAATACAGTTTGAGTTATATATGGGAAACACATGATATCAGAATAGCTTTGATTAATCAAAACACCTTGTGAATTATGATGAGTACCACCAGATTGGTCACCTGTTTTATGATATCAATTGATTGGTAATATTTTTTTCCCGTCATAAGTTAATTATATATATAATTAAAACATAAGGCTGTATTTGGAAATGATGCAAATAGAATGTAAATCATTGTTCAGGGTAAGTTTGCACTCTGGTTCACTTTTGTTCATGTTTAGCAATATTATATTCATGCATTGACAAATAACAGAAAGTACATTTTCCAATACATATTTAAATTGATAATAAGATGTAAAAATACATCAATAAAAAAAAAAGTAAATTTGCACTCAAATGAACTTTTGGTTAAAAAAAAGACATATACTTTATTGGAATTCTTGTTTGCATCCATTACATACAACTAAATATTTGTATTTACACTTATTTGCATTGTTTCGAAACACAACCTAAATAAAAATTAAAATTATCCCAAATTGATATTTATAATTAAATCCAATACTAGAGTTGGCCACCAATTAATTTCAATTTAGTTTGATTCATTTGACATCTGAATCATATAATAAACACCCCCTAGTAGCGTTCCTCATTCTTATAGAAACACTATATGTGATTGCTGCCACACTCGTCTTAATTCTCACCTAACTAGAGTAATGAGTAATTTGAGATGTTAGGCGTTCTTGGACACATAATAAAACCTTAAGAGTTGGCCTGAAAGCCACCGGCCACAACCGTCAACCCTTAAAAGCTTTGACACGCGTCTTGCACGTTTGACTGGACACTTCTTTGACATCAGATTGGAATTTTAAACAACTGTGCCCTAGCTACTGTGGAATGTTCCTTTGTGAGTGTCCTCTCTCATTCAATTGTGGCCCTTCTAATATTTATTTTTTCCTCAGTCTAGGTTTGGAAAGAGTAAATATAAATATGTATAATATAAATACATATAAAATATAAAGTTTTACACTTTATATATTTGTGTTTATATTTCTTCCAAACTATGCTTCAAGTCAATAATTTGTGGTTCAAAATTTTAAATGAATAACTTCCATGCAGCATGGGCATGATTTGTTTGTTGGGCCAAACAAAGCGGTCAATAAATATGGCCATATGGGCACTATTCTACAAAAGTACAGACCACATTAGGATTTAGGTGCAAAACGAGAATAAATGGAAACATTTGGGAAAAAGTGTTATATGTTTCTCTTGAATTTTTGAGAAACTTGACAAAAACCTCCCTTTTGTCACCTTTTCAGACAGAAACCATTAGATTGATACACCATTTTTTTTAAATACCCATTCTACCTTTTTATAAATTATTTTACATACAAAATTATTGAAATAATCATATTTTAACTTGACAAAAACCTCCTTTTAACAATCATCTTATAATATTTTTGTCAAGTTAAAACAAGATTATTTCAATAATTTGATACGTAAAATAATTTATAAAAGGCTAGAATGGGTATTTAAGGGAAAAAACTGATGCATCAGTCTAACAATCACCTAATACATTTGAGAACCTCATCTACATTAGTAGTTTAACATTTTATTCAAGAAAGAAAATTTCCTCTGTACTTTAGGCCTAATGACAATCTAGTACCCAAACTTTCAATTTGCGACAATCTAATACCTGGCATTAACTCATTATTAATCAGAATACAAAAAGACATAATTACCCACCTGCGATTTTGATCAATGTATGAATTATTTTTCGAAATGACGAAAATGACCCCAATTATAAAATCATTTCTCTACAAGTGGGAACCACTATTCACCCACTAGATGACCTGAAGTTCTGAAGAAACCAGTTCCTCCCGCCGGTGATGTCAAGCAGAATACAATGCCAGAAAAGTTGAAATCGACAAGTCACACACCAGACAGAGTTTGGTGTCCTTAGCCCCTCAACCCCGCCTAAAAGCTTAATCAAGACAAAACAATAAAAAATTAAAGCAACAAAAAAATAAGACATTTACTCAATTTGCAAAACAAGGATATCCATGCATATAATCTCCCCTAAGAAATTCATGGGTCCCTTAAAAAAAATCCTAAGTTGAATTAAGCACTTGAAATCTAATCCCAAACATACCCATATTAGTCAAGAATGATGCCCTCACAAAGGGTGTGAGTTAATTTAACTCTCATGGAACTATGCATCTCTTTGATATCTTTTGACATGTGTATAATATTCCATGGAGAGAAAGTTTTCTGAAAAAAGATTTCAACTAAACTCATATTATCTCTTTCAATACCTCTACTTCAAAAATACCATTGTTAAGGCAAAGAGGCAAACCATCATGAAGAGCCAAAAATTCAACCATAATACATAGACGCTTTAGTGTTCTAAAAATTAGAGAAACCAAAGTGGAAAACCCCATTTATGTCTCTTATTTTCACCATCAAAGCACTCACCCAGATTGCCAAACACGCCAAAAGACCTACTGGATTTTTTTTTTTTTCTTTTCTAATAGGTTTCATTGGAATATTGTTAAGAGCATGCAAGACTAATGAATTCACCCAAGGAAAAGTAGGATTAGCTTATAGCAATGATGACTTCCAAAAAGCCATTTATTTACTTTTCTAACGAGAGTTAATGGTAAAACTCCTATACCCTCCGGTCTATGGCTACATCTCTCTTTCCAAACAATCCAAAGAAACCAAGGAAGTACTCTAAAAAAGGTAATGGGATTTGGGAGTCTTTATTTGCATAACCTCCACCATGATTTGATCATGTCCACAACATGTTGAACATAGACGAAAGGGACATCAAATAAATTGCTATAGTTCAACTATAACTTATTAGCCAATGTTCCATTAACAAAAACATGATTAAAATTCACCACGCTTGGTTGACCATAACAGCAGCATTTTGAAGCAAGTTGGATACCTTACTTACAAATCACACTATCAAAAGGAAGAGCACCATGAAAAAAAAAAAAAGCTTCCACAAAAACAGATATACTTTTGTAGGGCAGCCAGTCTTCCAATAGCTTGAGCACCACACCCTCTGATAAGATTCCAAGATGAATATATRCAAAGTAAACTCACCAGATGAATAAGCTTATTTTCATCATTGTTTAAAGAGATCTTCACTTCTTTGGATAAATCAATTATGTGTTAATGTGTGTCTCTAAAATCAACACTTAACACTTTAGATGCACAGAAACATCTTGAACATCAATTTTTCCTAACTCAAAAATTAAAGGACCAAGGCCCAAACAATTTCCATACTAAAAGGAAACTATATCCTTCCCAAGCAGTCATTTACTGAGATTC